GGAGCTAAAGACCCCCAACCTGAGGAGTGTTAATGTTGGCAAGTACGATTTGCTGCAGTGGGATTATTGTTAAAGCTTCCTGTTTGAATCTGCTGGATATAAAGTGCTTTTTAATGCAGCAGCAGAGCAATTTACATGAACTGAGAAACAATTCTGCCATCAAATGGAGATAAAATCTCTTTAAAACCTGATCAGAGTAGAAAAGCAGCTATAAAGACTTTCAGAGATTGGTCTGTTTGTTATTTATCCTCCTTTTGTTCCAGAGAAACTAAATCTACACAGATAAGCTGCCGTGTTGCAGCTCAGAATTTTTCTTTTCTCATCCAAGATGAACAGCTGCTCGCTGCCCGCGCTGCCGCATGCGCACATTGTTATTGGCGTGCAGTTTGTGCCAGAAGGTGATTATTTCTCCAATATCCAAGTTAGAAAATCACCAAAACAACAATTAGCTGGTGCAAAAAATGTAATGTGACAGCAGATAAACATCCACAGATGACAACGTTTGTGTTTCACACTGCACCTTTAAAAAGGAGGTCTTAAACACTGATTGGATTAATAAAGTTATGTATGAAGTCTCTTTTAAATGTGTTTTTGGGAAGAAATTAGTATTTATTGTAATGTAAAACAAAACAAAACCAACATCCTTTATATGTTTTTGGTCCTAAAAGTCTTAAATTTAACCTGCAGAAAACCTCTGTGACTGATTTTGTTAAAGCTCAGTAAAGAAATAAATGACAAAAACTAACAGAATGACACTAGAGATTGAAGGTTTTCAGCCAGAAGCGAATAAACAGTCTCATTGGTGCTGCACATGAGTGAAGATATTTACTGAATGCTGATTGAAACTCAGTGGACAGTGAAAGTACAGCGGGTCGGGTCTCTTCAGGCGTCCTGCAGGAGGGTTTGTTTACCTCGTTTGACCGCAGCTCAACCTTTAAAACTTAGCTGTGTGTGTTTTTAGTGCTGAAACGACGAGTCGACTGATATCTACACACACATTTTATAACTGATGAATCTTTTATGTAGAGCAAACATTCACAGTGCGAGCTGCTTTTAGCCGCCCTGCCGTCGCTGTGATCCAGACCGAAATGTCTCGACAGCCACTGGATGGATGAACGTGACATTTTCTACAGACATTAATGTTTCTCAGAGGAGGAATCGTAATGACTTCAGTCCTCCAGGGTCACCAGGAGGGTTTTGGTTTGCAGTGAAATGTCTGAAACTGTCGGATGAATTGTTCTGAAATATGGCAGAAATATTTACGCCTCCTCCTTCAGGATGAATTTAATGACCTTGGAGATCATCTGACTTTGACTCCATCAGGTCAAAAAACCTGCAGAACTCATCAGTTGTACTTTTGTTTTTAGTGCTAATTATCTTAAGTTAGTATCATCGACATATTAAAGAACGTTTCCACTTCCTCCCACTGTACAGAAATGAAGCCATAATACTCCGTTCAGTTCAAGTCTGCGCAGTAGAGATCGGGGTTGGCACCACAGTATCGAAGTCCCGCCCATACGCCTGGGCTCAGCTGTCAATCACAACCTGAAACCTCCTTTAAAATTAACTAATTAAAACCAAACTGATGATAAAAAATGAACAAACGTCAGCGTGAAAAGAACGACCTAAAATAACGTCTGCTGACATGGAGGCTTTATGAGCTGTACTGCAGTCGGCCACCAGGGGGCGATAGAGAGGTATACGTTGATGGATAGCATGCTAACACACTAAATTAAATATAGTAAACATTATACCTGCCTTATTATTATACATCGGGGTGTTAGCTGTTTCCTTGGGTTTTGGACAACACATCACTTTAGGGTTGGGAAACATTTTTTAGGGGTAATTTTAAAAACTAAACAACTGATCGATAATAAAAATAATTGTAGCTTTGGGTCGCACTGCCAGGAAGTCAGACACAGAAACAGCAAAGAAAATCCAGTCAATTTTCAAAATAAAATAGCGCGTGCAGACTCCGGATAAAATATCAGGGGAGATTTTAAGCGGAGAAACACACGTTGTTAACTTTTTAAGGACAAAATACACAAATAAACAACGTATGGCAACAAATGAATGTGAAAATACGTGGATCAGGAAGTCAAACTGCGCCACAGACGTGCGTGGTAGAACTTATTTAACATTTTAAGGACTATTTAACTTAAATACTCTTAAATAAAGTTATTACTTTAAGGAAGCAGCCTTCTGAGTGTCTTTGCGGAGGTCACATAGTGCACAAACCCCACAGTAAAGCTCTATTTCGCTATATCGGCCTCCATATCGGTAAACTGTGAATTCCTCTGATTTCGCTCCCATTGTTCCAAAAACAGAAATTACCCAGAGGGCCCTTATGGTAAAATATAACATCTTTGTTCAAAATGTTTAATAACAAGCATGGCAACAAACATGGCATAAGAACAATGCAATGTTTAGAAAAATATATCTGCAAATGTATTTTTCAGAATACACTATACATTCACTTAAACCTCTACTCGATATTAAACATTTACAATTCAAATGTAATAGTCTCAATGTAGAGTCACGGTAGAAAACAACACGCTCAGTTTCCCGCTAAATGAGCTTCGTTTCAGGACATTTCGGTACAACAGGCAAACAACCTGAGGCGTCCTCGTTATTAATCGGTACCTGCTTGCATGTCTGCTTTTTAATTGATGGTTTGACATGAAAACAACCCCCCAACCCACTGACCCCTCTTTCAGACAATAGTTTGTTCCTTAGACAATAAAATACACGGACAACCTACAACCACTCAGATTCTTACCTTAAAAACATGGTGATGAAACCTAAGAACATTATTATTATGACATTTGCCTAATTATTTGGTTGTTTTTAATATGTTGGATACTCTCTCATACATGATTTATGATATAAAGCTGATGTGTTTCGGGGGTTTTTAACCCCCCCAAAAAAATCAAAATCACCGTCCTGACCAGCGTCCAGTAGTGAGGATACAGGAGTCAAACTAGGTGCAACCTCTTATTTTACTTCAAAACTCAAAAATAATGCCAAAACAGGAAGAGTCTGAGTAAAAGAGGTTTTTCGTAATAGAGTCATTTTCCCGTCGGCTGCGTCTCCTCAGCTTTTAAACTCCGCCTTTGTGGCTCTGTCCGACTGTCTTTGAGGAGGCTGTCCGCACCGAGAGCAGCAGAGAAAAAGGGGGCCCCCACCCCGGGAGTCGTGGTGTCAGTATCCCGCCGGATAGCCTCCTTTCCTGGGGTCCGACTCCGCGCACAGACGCTCTCCCTGCCGCACCACCGCCTGGACCACCGAGTCCGGAGTCCGCAGCAGCTGCGTTACGTGGTTCTTCTGGACCAGACCATCCAGGACGCTCTGCCGTGGTGTCATCGTTACACAAACAGAAACATTGTGCAGGAGGTGAAGGAACATTTATCTGGTTCCTCAATTAACATTAAGAACACTGAAAATCAACTTGCATGAACCGGGTTCATTGTTCAGTTTATCAGCTGTTCTCTGCTCTTGTTGTTATTATTGAATAAAATATGAAATATATAGAAAACACAGTCAGTTTACTCGCTGATAGAAAAGGTTTGGGAACCAGTTCTTTAGATGCTTAAACAATAACTGAATTTCTTATTATCCAAAGTTTCAGGTCTTTGCAAGTTGATCTTCATCCTGACTTTAACTGAAATGAAATCAATCGACGTCTCTTAAATGAGCAACATCAGAGGCTGTTTAGCTCCGGTGTCTGTTCTCCTGTGAGTGACCCACCTTTTCAAAGCCCTGCTCCACGACTGTCATATTGGGGTTGAGCTGGTTGTGAACCCGCGGCTCCGTCACGGCTTTCTTTAGGTCGTAGTTGAAGAACAGGGAGTTCAAAATGACCTGTTGCAGCCAGAAAAAGAAAGGAAAAAGACCATCACAAGTTTTTAAACAACTCCACTGAGCGTCTGAGATGAATGTGACTCAATCAGACGTACTAAGGCCGTGGCCGTGGTGATTTTTGTGCCTCCGGACGCTCCGACGACCATTTTCACTTTGTTTTCTTTGTCGAAGATGATGGTCGGACACATGGAGGAGAGCGGCCTCTTGCCTGCGAACACATAAACAGAACGTGGCTGCGACTGCTTAATGGATAAATGTTTACCTTTAAATATTTAAAATGTCTGTAAACAGTGAGGCTCTTTAAACCGGAGCAGGGTGAGGTTGTTTCAGAGCTGCTGACAGGATGTACAAAAACACTAAAGTCACAACCTAAACTGGGGTTACAAGCAGTGATTTGAGGGAAGATGTTGTCTCCCTTCATTAACCTGCAATCCCCTCACTAATAGGAGGACGCCATCATATCCCGACACAGAATTATTACGTTTGACACAGCGTTTATATTTTTTACCAGCGCAGCTTTTCTAACATTTACGGCTCTCCTTTAGCAACCTGGAAACTTATAAAACAATTGCATACGTTGTAAATCATCTCACTTGATGCTTCTACATAATAACAGTGCTAATTAAAACCTCTCTCAAGCTCTTCGTTGTGTATCAGAGGCTTTGTGTCTTCTGCTGTCTCGCAGGTGAAAAGATTATTTTACTGTCAGTAACAACTGAGAAACGTCTCCAGATGCCAGACTTGCTTTGTTTAGCTTTAACCTTCCTCTCTACTTCTGATGAATCCTGGATCCTGAAGTTGTTGTTCTGACCGCCCGCTCACACCAGCAGCTGTCAGAACACCTACATTTACAAAGCAGCCCTCTATTGTGTATCTGTATGTAATCTCTAAAGTGCAATGTGAAAACTGCAGATCAATATTGTTGAAATATTATTTAGACTTTTTACAAATTGGCATCATGATGGAGTTTATTTCTGCATTTATCGCAAATTAAATCAAAGAAAAATCTGTTTATTTTGGGCTCATACAAACATTGTGAAGCCAGATTAAAGGGCGAATATTTGCCTCACGTCACTCGTGTTAGTAACAAGTACATATAAATTATCCAACGAGTAACATAAGCAAAATATCCGCTTCATGTTTAGAGGGAACACACTTATTGATCCTTTAGCTGACTCAAGTTTGTGGAAGTTAGATGGCTCTTAAACATCCGATTATTATCAAATAATTCATTTATTTTAACTAAAAGAAATTCAGTTTTAAAAGGTTTTTGAGTTAAATTAACTTTGTTTTACAGTGAAATCTGATTTATTATTTTAACTCAAGAAAATAGTTGAAACTGAACATTGAAAACAACACAAACTCAGTTTGAGTACAACTATCACAACAATCTTTGTAGTTTTCTGCACCAAACATTGAGCCACACGTCACCAAACTCACTTTCCTGTTTCTAGCTGACATATTTACCCTCCAAACAGTCAAATTTGACCAATATTTGCGAGTTTCACCAATCACAGCCCCTCGAGCAGAACTGTCTGACCACACGTCACCAAACTACTTGAGATTTTATTCTCATTTGAAGGGGTTTCCTTAGATTTTTTTAGTAATGAGACCAAAAAATTCAACTATTAAAAAAGAAAATCGCTTTCATCGCAAAAAAATGCCCCAAAACATCGCAACTTTTTAGAAACCTGCAGTGAAATCTCAAAGGGACAGATAAACATAAAAGGATGCTCCCCCTGTGAACAATGAACGAGCCTTCTGGTTACAGGTGTGATAATTCAGTCCAGTCACACCTGGTTGGATGAAATTGTTCGGCGAAGGCGGGATTCCAAACCCGTTGGTGATGTACGGTGAGCTGAAGTCATCCATTTCATCGTTGAAAATGATTCCGGTTGATCGAGACATGACTTTGGAACCAAAGCTGAAGAAAGAAAACAGGTTTTTAATGAGTAACAATAATCAAAACCGAGCGTTAGGTTCAAGAAATGCATGCTTTTATTCTGAAGGATCACTCCTTACTAGAGGTTAATGGTGCTGGTGGCGGCCACGGCGCTTCCGTCCTCGGCTATGACCGACAGGTGAGCCGTCCCGTGGTTGTCTGGGACGAAGTAGTCTGGCTCGTAGTAGCTGTCTGGATGGGTGGTGTCGTCTGTAATTTTACTCCTGATGCCGTCGGCGAAGTAGTCTGAGGTCATGTTGTGGATGAGCTGTAGAGAGCAAAACAAGTCTCAGTCTCCTGACAGCCTGTCATCAAAACCATCAGTGGTGAACAATAGCAGAGCACTCGCTGGCCTCTGGGACAATATCTGAATATTTTAGAGGCATTTCACTCCCAAACTTCTGGAAACTATCATACAGTGAAGCTAAAAACTGCCAAAATAAAAGTCTGAATGATAATGACGACTTACATCAGTGATATTGAGATAACGTGGGTCCCCCAGTCGGCTCCTCTTGGCGTAGGCAAAACGAAACGCCTCCACGATGCGATGATACGTCAGAGTCTTCTTCTCTGCCGTATAGGACGCCTCGTGGTCTGAGAAGTTTTAAACCTGTTAACCTGTAAAATATCCACAGGAAATTAAATGTAAGTAAAGAATCACATTTACGACTTCAAACCTTCTCCGTCGTTTGAGCTGAAAGTCGGGTTCAGTCGGGCTGCAGAGACACGTGTTTTTGACTTCAACTTAAAGGTTAAAGGAAAATAAGCTTCTGTGCAAACAAAGGTTTATAAACGTACATATTACTGGCAAGCATAATTTCATAAAATTAACCACTTTTTATGATTTTTGTTGTAGTATTATAGCTAGAAAAGAAAGTGTTTGCAAGAGCGTGAGTATAAAAGCCGGGTTATAGCTGGAGTAGATAAGTCTGTTAGCAACCACCTTTCAACATCTATAATCATTAAACAGTTGTAAACTCTCATGTTGTATATGTTAGTTGAAGTTCTTCCATTATCCCAAATGTTTCCAACAATGTTCAAACTCAGGAGAAATCTTCATGTTATTCAGTTAACTCTGCGTTTTTACCGGCGTTTGTCGGTTGCTCTGCCAGAAGCTGTCATTACACTGGACTGTTGACCAGTCTGAAGCCACATTTTTAACCATCCAACTTTAGATCTTGGTGCTTTTTTAACCTCTAGATTTGAAACCGGATGAAAGGATTTTAATCATGCGGACGCTGGATCTTATTATCAAGAGACAAGCTGAGCTACGTTACTGTAACAGACCTTATTTTCAGTTTAACCTGAAACCAATGACTCTATTAACCCCTCATTCAAAAACACAAACTATGAACATTGAGCTCCAACTCATATATAAAACATTATATTATCCTTCTTTGAAATTAACGTTCACTTTTCATTAAAGCATGATAAGCATCCTCTCTGCCCCCAACAGATTGGCCGTTGATGCGGATTGAATTTGCTCGTCTCTTTTTCTGCCTCCAAATCAGGCGGAGAAACATTGCAGGGGACGACCTGGGGCAAACCTGCATTCCTTTCTTCTGCACGCTGCACAAGCACTTGGCGCGGGCCGCTCACCATCACTATTTGAGTGATGAGTGCCAGCACCGCCTGGAGGGGGCGTCTGGGACGGCATGTGTATTTCCCCGACGTTGAGCCTCAGAGGTTCTCGTTAGCACGGGCTGGTACTCCAATCAAATCATCCAGGGTGATGATGCCGCCTGGAATGGAGTCACAGATAGTGTCAGAGGAATCTTTAAAATGCTCAATTGATTTCATTTCTCCTTTTTTCCTGTAAGAGTTCGTAGTTTTGATTCAGCGGATGGGGATTCTATGTATTAATTATTCTGTATATAACCTAAAAGGAAAGAAGAACACAGCACCACAACCTGCCGCCTGGATGTCCTCGACGATGCTCTGCCCATGTGAAGCGTTATAGAAACCACATCGGGTCCCCTCCTCGGCTATTCTTTTGGGGTACGTTTCGGCCAGCTTTGGAAATCTGACAATATGTTTTCCTTCAGGATGTTCTCTGAGAATCACCAAAAACACCTCGCTACGAAAGACGATAGACAAACAAGGAGGAAGAAACTGTTAATATTGCTAGGAAGTTTAAGTAGAAATAAAGCTATATATGAGAGAACACATTGTTGATCGCACATTAGTTGTCTTTATATTTACACTTGGAGACTAAAAACATATTGAAACCATAAGTTCAACAAAAAGAGGCTTAGAAAGTATTAAACACAGTCACATTTCTATGTTTATGGAATGGGGGCGTCACGTTATCCGCTGCTCATTGCCATAAGTCAAGCGTCTAGGCGCTTTTCAAATCGCGATATTAATGTCAGGACATGAAACCCAGTGTAAGTCTACGCACCCAGCAGGGTGGGAGTGGTTCGAGGCCAGAGGGAAAAACAAACATCTTGCATCTGCGCATGAAAAGAAAACCAGCAGGTATCACTTAAATAAAACTGTTTCACCTTCCCAAGTGTCCAAACTACGACTGCCAACGCTTTATTTTTAAGGTCAAACCAGATCAGACTAACGTCCATGTGAAATTAAAAATGTCATTTTAACTCTCAAAGATCACAATCCCAGTTATAACTCGGTCCAAACTGTCCTCTATATCTTATGATTTTAGGTGTATACACTAATAAAAACATACCTATGAATATATATTCAATAATAGATCCTCACCACTGGACTTAATCTTCACCTTCACCCACATGTTCGGGGCGGCGTCTCTCTGAATGCGAATCTTTGCTCATTAAGATGGCCGTCGAGCAAAGCTTCTTTCTCCCCCAAGAAACCGTCGCGAGCAAGCCGATGCGGGCTCGAACAGTCCTCCACGGGCAGCCTGCCATTTCCTCTTGGTGCGCATCTGTAACCGCGAATCCCCCGGGAATGGCTCGATGGGACAATCCCACCTGTCCGCAGAGACAGCAGATCACTATTCTTTTGAATTTTCACGAGCCGTCGGCCGTACCACCAAAGACATAACCCAAAATAGATCCTTGTTGTTCAGGAAATCCCATGGAGGAGTAGATTTGAGACTATTTATCCTCTTTAAATGCCCGCCTTATGATACACATTGATTTTGGTGTTTCCAACACACATAAACCCTGTTCTGGGAATCAATACCTCCAACAGTTCGTACCTGGTGCGAGAAAGCTTTTCGGTTGTTGCAAACATTGTCTCAGTGGCGTCATCGGCGCCGGTCTCCCTCGCCGTCGATGGTTTCTACTCCTCCTGTTGAGTAGAAAATGGGGTCTGATGATTGTTTTTTTGATGATGTTGGTTTACAGTCTGTCGAGAGGTCGTTGACATAACTGTGCGGTCACTCACCTAGTGGAAGCGTTCGTAGATGGACAAGAAGATGCCCTCCCTCCGATGCCCATTGCTTGTGCAGCGTTCAGAAGGCCGACCACACAGCAACGGCATGGAAGCTCCCACGGCTGACACCGTTTTTCTCAGGATGTCCCTGAAACAGAAAGTGGAATCATTGAACTATCACCTGCTTGCATAGGAAACTAATGTGCTGAGAGTTCCAAACTACCTGGTCGCTCCTGGCTGTACGTGAGTGCTTCTGGTAATGGAGGGAAAACAGATAACCATGAATTTGCATTGTGCATTGTCGCATACTCCTTATGATTATTAGCATTCCTAAAATCGTTGCTATGGTAAGATGGGTGAAAAGTGACGCAAACAACATGCTGCAATCGCTGGCCTCCAAATCAGAAACAGTTGAGGAAGAGACGTGTGACTGGGACCTAGACGTCTGGTTCTTAGTGTTCAACAACACTGTGGGGGAAGTTAATCAGCTTATTAGTTATAATCAGTAGGCAAGGTTAAATAAAAGGGACTGGACGTATTTCTCTGGCTGTCGCCAGTCATGACGCGCGAGTGTCCCGACTCCGCCGCGCGTCCCAGTATATCAAGCCGTGATTGGTCGAAAGAGCGTGAAGACGACCCCAGCGCCGTGTGCTGGCTTAAGAGCAGGGCCGGCGAGCTTTATTTATCGTGAACCTTAAAGTGATTAGGAAGGTATAATTTAAGTAAGGAGTGATCTGTATCGAAAATGTACAGAGGTGTCGCTCAGTGAGCGGGAAATGAAACGTTAGAGACCGAAACATGTTATGTTCTGCTGTAACGTATCTGCATTTTAATATGAGCCTTACTATGACTCATCTTGAGCCAGCCCGCCTGCTAAGTGGCTGGTGCTGCAGGAAGCTGCAGGGGCGATGTATTTGCTGCGTTGGCCTTGCATTTCTTCAGCAGACAGGAAAGTGTCGCGCCTTGAAGTGAAACCGTCGCGTGGTGGTAGGGAAATCGCTTTTTGGTTAGGTCGACCTACGCCAACCGTATTTTAAAACTGTTGCTGGTAAGTCAAGACCAAAAAACGTTAACATTTAAAACGCGCTCTCGGTTCCCGGGCTTCTTTCCTCTCGCTCCGTCTTTAACTTCCCCCAACTTTCTTGAACACTTCCGGCCGTCCGCCAGCCCACCAGGGCGGCCCTTCGAGTAGAAATTTCCAAGAGTTCTCCAAGCCCCTGTTTTTTGTGTGCTCCTGTTTGTTTTCCTCTGGCTCACTCCACCCTGCTGGGTCCGTAGACTTTACACTGGGTTTATTTTCCCTGGACACATATAATGTCCCCGATTTTGCATAAAGCAGCCTAGACCTTGACTTTATGCAAATGAGCAGACATAAACCGTGACGCCCCATTCATTTACAATAGAAATGTGATGTGTTTATACTTTCTAAAGCCTCTTTGTGTTGTTGAATCATTATGGTTCATATGTTTTTAGTCTCCAGAGGTGTAAATATTAAAGACAACAATGTGCCACAACAATGTGTCTCCTCATATACTAGCGACTTTAACTTTGCTACTTAAACTATCTAACAATTTAACAGTTTTTCTTCCTCTTCGTTTGTCCCGTATCGTCTTCTTAGCGAAGGTGTTTTTGGATTCTCAGAGAAAACATCCTGAAGGAAAACGATATTGCTCAGATTTCCAAAGCTGGCCGAAACGTACCAAAGAATAGCCGAGGAGGACCCGATGTGTTTTATATAAACGGCTCCATGGCGCAGAAGCATCGTCGGCGAGGACATCCACCTGCGGCAGGTTGTTGTGCTGGTGTTCTTCTTTCTTTAGAGTATATATGGAATAATTAATGGAACATAGAAACTCCACATCGCTTGAAATCAAACTAAGACTTTACAGGAAAAAAAAGGAGAAATGAATCAATTTGAGCATTTTAGATTCACTCTGACCACTTCTGTGCTCATTCAGGGCGGGCATCATCACCCTGGATGATTTTGTTGGAGTACCAGCGGTGACTGAACGAAAGAACCCTCTGAGGCCAACGTCGGGGAATACACATTGCCACGTCCCAGACGCCCCCCCAGCCCGGGTGGCTGGCACTCATACTCAACATAGTGGGAATGGTGAGCGGGCCGCGCCAAGTGCTTGTGCAGCCGTTCAGAAGAAAGGATGTCAGGTTTTCCCCAGGGTCGTCCCTGCAATGTTTCTCCGCCTGATTTGGAGGCAGAAAAACAGAGACGCAGCCAAAATTCAATCCGCCATCAACGGCCCATCTGTTGGGCAGAGAGGATGCTTAGGTCATGCTTTAAATGAAAAGTGGAATCGTAAATTTCAAACTGAAGGATAAAATTAATGGTGTTTATATAATGAATCTGGAGGCTCTAATGTTCATAGTTTGTGTTGTTGTGAATGGAGGGTTAATAGAGTCAGTTGGGTTTCAGGTTAGGAGGCTGAAATAAGGTCTGTTACAGCTAACGTTAGCTCACTTTGTTTCTCTGATAACTTAAAGATCCCAGACCGATCCGATGACTAAAATCCTTCATCCGGTTCAAATCTAGAGTTAAAAAGCACCAAGATCTAAACAGTGGATGGTAAAAATGTGGCTTCAAACTGGATAAAAAGACAACTGATGACAACTTCTGGCAGACAACCACACTGCTGACGCATGCACGAAGGGGTTATGATGCCATTGACAGGCGACCGGTGAAACGCAGTTTGAACATTGTTGGAAACATTTGGGATAATGTTACTAACAACATATATAAAATGCATAGTGCTTATACACCACTTTAAGGCATAAATGTTAGATTTTATAGCTTCAACTGCAAAACCCAGCAAAATTGAAAAATGACAAAAATTGGAAATAATTATATTAATAAAAATAGTTGGTAACAAAATTTTCTTTTATCAACTTAATCGGACTTAATCATACTAACCATTGCAGCTCTACCAGGCACCATGCAAACTTGACCTTATACCTATCTCTAACTGTTGCAGCCATATTCACAAATAATGATCGGCTGAAGACTGATATGAATCACTGAAAAATCACCACCACTGAGGACTGAAGACAAGCATGGGGGGGGGGGG